ACTGTAATCACAGTGCAGGAAGGCTGACGTCTGGGATCCTGGCTCAGCTGTTTACTTGCCACCGTTCACTCCAACACCTCGAAACGTATGCTTTTAAAAAACCATAGAAATTCATACCATGCTCGGAGTTCTATAATTTGGATTGAGCTTCTTTTTCCCCTAGTCCTTTGTCAGAGAACTTACAGATCATTCGTAGTCATGGCACCATACTAAGTCATGCCCACTGGCAATGAGCTGACGTTGCCACCTGGGACATGTTGTGATTAGAGCATCTTCTAAGAATCAGCAAGTTGTGCTGCATACTGTGCATCCTCCTCTCCAGACTCACTCTCCATCCTCCCCCACCTTGCTGTGCTCCCAGAGGCTGACTGCTGGGGACTGACGGAACAGGGCTTCCTTGCCTTCCAGTTCCTGGCTGGAATGGCCAATGCGAAGCACTCACAAGAGAAAGACTGGAGGCAGGAAGAGGGATGAGTCACCCACCCTGGGCCATGATTGTCAGTGGTGCTGCTCTTCTAATACCACAACTCTTATTAGGTGCCCTCTCCTAGAGTTATGGCGATTTCTGGGAACCCTCTCTTTTCCCTGGTCGCATCATGTCTAAGGATGCAAACAGCTCCCTGCTTCCCCAGTCCTTGCTGGTCTCCCTCAGCCCTGACCAAACCTTTGTAACCAGTCCCTTCACTGTATTCCAATCGCTCGCCCCTTGTGAGTGTCATGTATTCCCCACGTACACCCTGCCTGATTCAGTTTTACTGGACAAAATGTGGAATATTCCTCATTAGTATTGAAATTACATAAGACAATCTAGCAGCCACAAAGCAAACAGCAGAACAGTGATCATTTGTCCTTTGGTAAAATCAAGCACTAAATGCTGCCCAATTACGGAATTCATATTTTTTTTTTCAAGTACCAATCAGCATTCTACTTCTGGAGCCCAGGTTCAGGTTGTTCAGGGGAAGACCAGATAAGCACAAAATCAGCTTTACACAGAGGGATCCTGCTGCCGAAACTTCAGGATTTTTATCGTTATCATGGGCCTTGAGGCTCGGCAGCCTCTGAAAGCAGTGGTGGGAGCCCCTGACAAAGAGACTGTCTGTTGCCACGCGGGGACCCCAGAGCCAGGACATGGTTTCACGCACCTAACATCGCAAGACGACTGTTCACATTTCTCCGCTCTGTGACACATCTGGGACAAGCATCAACCCTTTAGTTCTGCGGGGTTCTGGCAATGGAAAACACCACAGATAACTAAAAACCGAACTTGATGATCTCCATATATTGGTCAGCTGGTGAAATCAGGCTGCCAGGGCCTTGTTAGGATCACTTCTTAGTCTGTGACATGACAACACAAACCAGCCTGGGCCATGAGAAAAAGCCATACGTGGGAGATGGCAGATTGGCAGCTTGCAGGCATGGCACAACCCACCAGCATGTTACCCAGCCCAGACGGTGTTTTCATTTTGTACATTTGGTTGCCACCAGGTAATATTTGGAGGATTTCATATAAATGGCTTTCAGCTTTTACTGAAAAAAATTTTCTTGTAGCAGTCCGATGCTGTACATAGAGTAGAATACTTGACAAACCCTGATGGAAATATTAATGGCTGCAAACCAATAAGAGAATGAGAAAGGTTCTATGTGGCCCAGCACCTAAAGAGACACTAATAATCAAGTTTCTGTTGCTGGCAAAGCAGCCACTAGAAAAAGATGTACAGAGAATACACATTAGGTCAGCCTAAGGCTCGGCGAGCACATTGCTCGTGACTTCATGAGTGCTAAGAAACGACTGTGTCCAAGGGCATTATCTTCTCTTTTGTCACTGGAATGGTGGGAGACATCCATTTACCAGGTAGCACAGGAGTGGGAAGCTGGCCAGCCCAGCTTTGGTCACAGTTTGGTCACACCAAACTCAGAATGAAAACCATGCTTCCCCCGATGTGTGGCAATAAATGTATCAGCTACTGGGAAGGTTCTTCTATGAAAACCAGGCTTTTTGACCTTCACGCCTGTCCCATTGACTAGAAGACACTAGGCCACAATGACAGATAAGGCTCTGGGTTTGAAAACAGAGCCTAAGCAGTAGTGAGAGTAAGAAGTGACATTGGCTTCCCTGGGCTTGCCGAGAAGGTGAGCAGGCAGGGACCATGTGCCCCGCTTTCCGCCATGGACTAATTTAATGACATGTTTCCACTTCAGTGTAAGGCCAAACCATTCCAGAGACTTTCTTTCATCTTGTCCTTCTCTCCCCTTTATCATCCTCACACTTTCAAACACACACACACATCCACACCCACACACACACCACCACCACCACCACCACCATACAGATGGAGAACAAAAGAGGTTTACAGAGAAAAAGATACTTGCCAGAATGGAAAACATTCTATTCCTCAACTCGGGTCTCCCAGTCAGCCCACCCAGACTCTTCCCGAACTCTGGTTAACATGCACCACAATTCAAATTTTAAATAATAATAACAATAGCTAACATTTACTGCACTAAGCATGTAATTATGGGCCATGTAGGTATATATCACTTTATTTAGAACTCTTCTTCTTCCTCTTCCTCCTCCTCCTCCTTTTTCTTTTAGTTTCAAGTTTTCATTTAAATTCTTGTTAGTTAACATACAGTGTAATATTAATTTCAGGTGTACAATATAGTGATTCATCACTTACATGTGATACCCAGAGCTCATCCCAACAAGTGCCCTCTTTAATCTCCATCACCGCTTTAACCATCCCCCTGCCCACCTCCCCTCCAGCAACGCTGTTTGTTCCGTATAGTAAGAGTCTGTTTCTCAGTTTGCCTCTCTCTCCCTTTTTCCCCTGTGTTCATCTGTTTTGTTTCTTAAATTCCACATATGTGTGAAATCATATGGTATTTGTCTTTCTTGGACTGACTTATTTTGCTTAGCGTAATACTTCTCTAGCTCCATCCATGTCCTGGCAAATGGCAAGATTTCATTCTTTTTGATGGCTGAGCAATATTCCACTGTGTATATGTACTACATCTTCTTTATCCATTCATCAGTCAGTGGACATTTGGGCTCTTTCCATAATTTGGCTGTTGTAGATAATGCTGCTATAAACATCAGGGTGCAGGTGCCCCTTCGAATCAGTGTTTTTGAATTCTTTAGGTAAATACCTAGTAGTGCAGGGGCTGGATCATAGGGTAGTTCAATTTTTAACTTTGTGAGGAACCTCCATACTGTTTTCCAGAGTGGCTGCACCAGTTTGCATTCCCACCAACAGTGTAGGAGGGCTCCCCTTTCTCTGCATCCTCGCCAACACCTGCTATTTCCTGTATTGTTAATTTTAGCCATTCTGACAGGTATGAGGTGATATCTCATTGTAGTTTTGATTTGTATTTCCCTGAAGATGAGTGATGTTGAGCATCTTTACATGTGTCTGTTAGACCTCTTCTTTTCATTCTCTTGACAAACCTATGAGCCAAGCACCATTCTATCTCAGTTTTAAGGTTGAGGAAACTGAAGCTCAGGAATGTTCAAGGTCATCCCAATATTAAGTGGCACAGCCAGGATTCAAAACTGATTTCTCTGATCCCATAATCTGAGTAAATATATTACACGGAATATACTAAACTGGTTTCCTCAGATATTGTCATGGAAAAGTCCTTAATTGCTGTACAGACCAAAAGGGAGGCACAAAGATGTCAACAATTTCCTCAACATCACAGTCTCTGCATGAGGAAATATGAAGAGAGACCCAGAACTTGAACTGGGGTATTCCCAGGGTTCTAAATAAGCAAATTCTGCCCGGTCTTGTTTTCCTCATTCAGCACAATATCATGCAAGCTTCACTCTAGGTAAGATTATAAATCAATGATGTTTGGGCTTCCAGGGCATGAGGGCAGCCTCCAGACTCTCGACAATGAAGAGCTGGGGGCCTCAGTCCCACAACCAACAAGGGAAGGAATTCTGCCAGCAACCTGAATGAGCTGGGAATGCCACTTGGTCGACACTTTGATTGCAGTGTTGGTAGGCACTGAGCAGAGGACCCAGTTAAGCCATGCCCACACTCCTGACCCACAAAAACTGTGAGATGGTAAATGTATCTTATTGTAGCCATTGAATTTGTAGTAATTTGTTACAGAGCAATAAAAATACCTGATAAACAATAAAATGGGGATGATGCCCCCCCCCCAAATGCATGTCTAATTTTTTTTCAACTGATAGCAGTCACTTAGAGAAACCAGAAGCAGAAAAAAAGAAAGCTATCAAAGCAGTTTTTAAGTGTTTCATTCTGGAGGATCTAGTATGTGTGCGGCACTCAGCTTAGTGGACTTGGGGCTTCCTAGAGGATTCAAAGATGTGCCCAACATTGTCAGAGACTCCAAACAAGGAATTGTGATACATAAAGTTCTAGAAGAGCAGGGTGCTTGGAGAGCTCTGGGGCTAGAACCTCAGCTATGGGAGGAAGGCAGGAGGAAGGTTGGGCAAGAGCATTAGGTAGCGGTAACTTCGGATTTAGACCTTCCAGGGAGAGGATTGAGAGCACCTTACAAAGAAGTTTATTGTTATGCTGGGGAAGTAAAGAGGCCTAGTTCTGCTTTTCCTCGGTAAAGAAGAACAAGCAGATGTAGGGCTACTCTATGAAGCCTTCTTTAACTTCTATTGATTTATATTCAATATTTTCTAACCCCAAAAAGATCAAAAAGCTACAGAAGGTGCAGTAGACACTGTTGGTAACCCACTCATTCCTCTTATTGGCTCTGTGCTTCCATGCCGCAGCACCTGTGACGTCTGAGGTTTGCCCCTGAGCACTGGAACCACCTCGTCCATGCAGAGAGCTAGGAGTGTCTGGGAGGCCTACAGCCACTTCCAGCCCAGGGCTCCCAGCTGGCAGCCAATAATATGATAGACCAGTGTGGAAGTACAACAGCCCAGTTTCTTTCCCATGAAGCAGGACAAACCCTAGAATAGTTAATACTCCAGAGCTCCTGAGAAAATCAGACATCACTTAAAACCACAACCTTTCTCTTTTTTGCCGCCATCCTGCTCTGCGTGGCTGACTGCTTCTCGCCATGTCTTCTCACAAGACTTTCAGAATCAAGCGATTCCTGGCCAAGAAACAAAAGCAGAATCGTCCCATTCCCCAGCGGATTCGGAAGAAAACTGGTAATAAGGCCAGGTACAACTCCAAGAGGAGGCACTGGAGAAGAACAAAGCTGGGTCTATAAGCCATCACACATCATGAGATGACACACTTAATTGGCACACATATTTAATTAAGCTGCATGAAGATCACATGTTCTATCATTCTGTAAACATCCTTCCTACCTGGCCATAGACTTGTCTTATCGTGGAAATGAGTTTTCTCTGTGACTATGCCTCTGCACCAGTAGGTTGGTTCAGTAATAAATGTGAGACCTTTTGGCTCTAAAAAAAAAAAAAAAAATCCTTTCTTGATTTCTTCTCCACTCCCCAGCCTGCTCCCCTTGCTGGGGATGCTCCTCCAGGAGCATTTCCCTAATAAATCTCTTACACTCAAATCCTTAGCTCAGGACCTGCCTCAAGGAGAACACAAATTAAGAGAAATAGAAACATCCCATGGCTCTAGACATGTGGTATTTGGCTGCATTTTGTAACTCATTGATCTAATTTGACCAGAGAATATATCTAGAACATTCTCTGAAAAGGGTGAGTCACGGCATCATGCCCATCCACCAAGGTCACATACTTCTTCCTAAGTGCTCCATTATCTGATGCCCAATCCTAAGGTCCAACACTTCTTATTACCACCTTGCAGCTGCTGCCAAGCTCAGCCAAGCCACTATGGACAAAGATCCTGCACACGATCTACTTGACCTGGACAGGGGACAATGTGGCCGAGTCTGACACCCACATTTAAAAGTGAAAATTTTTTTTAAAAAAGGTGAAAAATCAAGAATTATAAGTGATCTCAAGAAAAACTATAATAGGAACAGTGACCTTAGCTCTCTAACCCAAAACTTGTGCCATGACAACATACACTATGACCCATACTCTCTCTAATGGTTTATTATGCAAGAAAAATTCAGGTCCCTGGAATTTTTCCCTACTAAGTACACAAAGATATGCTATTGGCCCCTGTGAAACATGTGAAATCAGGACAATATTAACACTATGAATATATAATTGTAAAATCCCTCTCCTAAAAAGTGAAACCCTTCCCTGTATCATATATTGCTTTCATTTATGCTTAAAATCTACTTAAGAGAACTTGCCATAGGGCTTTTTAGAGTTGGAAACCAAAGAGAAAAGATAAATGAATAACATATGTCCTTACTTGGATCCTTATCCAGCATGGTAAAGAATGTCTAGAAGGTAAGTTTTACTCTTTTCACTTAGATTTGAAACAACATAGTTGTGTTAGGACAGAAAAGTAGGCCACCAACAAAAGCTGGATCCCTTCACATGAAACAGAGTCTTTTAACCACACCATCGCCTCCCACCAAGTGGTTTTCACAATTTCACAGAGCTATTTTAAAATTTTCTTTAAGGAAAACAGAAATTAAAATTTCCCTAAAACAATCCTTTAAGGAAAGGCAACAAAGGGGGCTCCTGGGTGGCTCAATCATTAAGCGTCTGCCTTCTGCTCAGGTCGTGATCCTGGGGTCCTGGGATCGGGCCCCGCATCAGGCTCCTTGCTCAGCGGGAAGCCTGCTTCTCCCTCTCCCACTCCCCCTGCTTGTGTTCCTGCTCTCTCTCTCTGTCAAATAAAATAAATTTAAAAAAAAAAAGGGAAAGGCAACAAAGTATTTCAAATTTGAGTCAGCAATCTATTGCATGAACACCATTTAATCTTCATATATTACTTTCAATATATCACTTTGTTTTATAAGACAAACCACTTAAGAAACATGAACAACAGAACTGGGAAGTTTCAGAGGATTATAGTGACAGCCAAGTAAAACAGGAGTGAAGCTCAGTGTGTCTGTAATGATGCAACATGCATAGCGAACAGTGTACCCCCAGCGTTAGGAGTGGTGATGAGCACAGTTTATGGAATCGGGAAGTTGCAAGTTTTATTTCCAGCTGTGGAGCTGAGTGACTTTGAGTGAGTTACCTCACCTCAGTGAGCCTCATTTTCTGGATCTGTAACATGGGGCTAATAATATCTTTCATGGGGTCAGGCTGTGGATTAAAGGTGATATGTGTATGTAACAAGATGGAGAAATATTATTGACCAGGATTCCAGGATATCTGAGGAAGGCAGACTGGTCTGATAAGCCTGCCCTCCCTACTCCACCCTCACTTTCAAGAGGAATAGTTGAAGGGCTAGGCACTTCTCAAAGAAATGTCTACTATGAAGAGGGTCCAAAGTAAGGACTGAAGGCTGGGCAGGGTTGGGGGGAGCGTTAGAAACACTTTTTGAGGAAAACATAGGAGCATATCTCCATGGCTTAGAGTAGTCAAAGATTTCTTAGAGACGTCACAGAAAATAGGCATAAATAAAAAATTAGTATTAGACTTCATCAAAATTAAGAACTTCTGCTCATTAAAGGATACCATTAAGAACATTAGTAGGCAAACCATAGGCTAGGAGAAACATCCCACAAATGACTGATATCAGTGAAGCAATAAATGGCTCAGTAAACAACCTCCCAAAATGGGCAAAAAATTTGGACACTTTATAAAAGAAGATCTATACATGGCCAACTAACCCCCACACATGTAGTCAACATCATTAGTAATCACAGAAACGCAAATTAAAACCACAGTGAGATACCACCAAAACAGCCACCAGAATAACTGAAATGAAAAAGACTGACAACCCCAAATGTTAACAGTAATACAGAAATTGAACCTCATACATATTGGGATGATCTAAAATGGCACAATCCTTTTGGGAAAAGGTTTGGCAGTTTTCAAAATAGAACTAAATATATGCCTGCCTTATGGCCTAGCAATTTTACTCTATGGTATATACCAAAATGAAAACATTTATTCATAAAAAGACTTGTACAAGAATTTTCATATCACTTTTATTCATTATAGCTGAAGAACCTGGGCATAGTCCAGGAGAATGGAGAAATAAACTGTGGAACAATGGAATACTACTCAGAAATCAAAGGAAAAGAATTACTTCTTTTAGTAAGATAAATGCAACAATGTAGGCGAAGTTCAAAAACATTCCGAGACAAAGAAGCTTGACCACACACTGTATGTTAAGAATTGTGAAGGGTTAGAGACTTTACCCTATTAGGGAGCCAACCAGTTAGCCCGTCACCTTTTCACGGATGCCAGTAGAAGACACAGGGCTCCTGGGTCAGTGACAAATCTATAGCAACAGCCAGAGCATCAGCATTTTCCTGCAAAGGTTCCCAAGCCCAGTTCCCACGGGGTGACATGAGGAGCCAGGGGAGAGCTGCATACACAGTGGAGACCCTGAGCTTGGCAAAGCTGCATCCTTTATAGTGGGCAATGGGTATGACCGCTCTCTGCTCACGAGGCAGACATGATCTTTGCATTCCAAAGCCACCTGCTAAACAAATATCCTTGAAAAGAGTCCAGGACAAAGGCCATCAGTGCTTCTGGTAGCAAGGTGTGCAGACATGTGAGTCATCTGTGAATAGAGCTGTATCCCAACACTGTATAATACCACTTACATGAAATTCTATAGGAGGTAAGTCATTTATGGCAGAAAAAAATTAAAACTGTTTTTCTCTGGTGGTGGGGAGGTGGGGGTAGGTCATGCAGTGAACTTTCTGGGTAGTGGTTAGGCTCTATATCTTCATAGGGCTTTTGGTTCTATAGGTGTATGCATTTGTCAAAACTCAGTGAAAGCACTCTTAAGATTTGTGTGTTTCATTGGATATAAATTTTATATCAAAAGAAAAAACTGCAAACAAATACTGAACTTCAATTCATGATATGCATGCCAAGGTGCTTGGAGGGGATACATACTATCTGCAATTTACTCTGTAAAACATTAAAAATAAGCTAGATGAACAGATCGATAAAGAGATGAATAGATGGAAAGCTATGCATAAAGTACAGTACAATGTTAATGGGGAACCCAGCTGGTGCTCTTACAGATGTTTGCTGTAAAATGCTTTCAACTGTACTGTTTGTTTGAAAACATTTAAAATTAAAATGTTGAAGAAAAAATGAAAGTCTAATAAAAGAATAAAGAGAAAACATGGATAACCATGAGGAGATGGCCTTTCTAAATTAAACAACAAAGGAAATCCATAACAGGAAAAAATTGATAAAGATGACTACATTATAATTTCTTAAATTCACACATAGGCTAAATGCACTTTCACCCCCCCACACACATACAAAGTCAAGTGGTGCAAATGAAGAGTTCTCACAAGTCGAAAAGAAAAAAAGACTAATACCAATAGAAAAATAAGCAAGGGTCATGAACAGGCAACTCAGAAAAACTGGATGCAAAAGTTAACAAACAAAATGTGCAGAATTATTAGTAATCAGAGATGCAAACTAAAACATCAGTAAGATGCCGTTTTTTGCCTATTTGATTGGCAAAGAATTTTTAAATGATCATACCCTATGTTGGTGTGGATATGAGGCTGATTAACTGGCCAGCTTGACTCTCAACTCCTCCACTTAACAAGTTGAATGACCCTGGGCTGGGTACCTAACCTTTCTGTGTCTCCGTGTCCTCATCTATAATAAGGGGAAAATAGTATTATCTATTAAGTTAATATACTACATTTCAACAGGGTATCTGGGCATAAGAATATGACAATAGTCCAAAAGAAAAACCAACCGGAAACAAAACAAACAAAACTCAGTATGTAGATTTTTGGGACGGTCAGAGCACAGAACTCACAGGATCCAAATCATGAACTCAATCATCATGAGAGAGACTCTGTTCTATGATGAAAAAAAAAAACCTCAAGTATATTTCAAATAAATATATGGCTACCTCATTTTTTGAGGAGCTTAAATGTAAAACTGTTGCATTAATATTTTTCCCAGAGGTAAAACATATACTTAAGCTAGCAGAAGGTCATGCGCATCTTAAAGAAACCTTCACAAAGTCACATTTGAATTTTTTCCTTTCACAAACAAGACAGAAGAAAAATCATCAAAATTATTTCCGCAGAAGACTTTTCCATCATGGTGGCGAGTTAAGAAAATACAATAAAATAGAAGGAAAAGACACTTATAAAACCTGGATTTTTTAAATGTTAGTAACATCTCAGACCTGGAGCGACTGTGGGGCCATTGCCAGGATCACCTCCTCC